TCCTGAAGAAGGAGCGTGACCGACATAGTGAGCTCGAGGGGTCCAGGCAGCCTCGTGTGGATCTGAGGGCCCTGGGCGCCATTGAGGCACAGGCCAAGGAGGAGGAGCCACCTGAGCAGGAGCAGTTGCCGCAGCTTCCGCCTCCGAGGAGGGCGCGGTCTCGTTCCCCTCCAGGCCGGATGTCCTCTGGGACGTACCCGGAAGCTTCTCCGGGAGCATCGGGCTCTGGCGGCCCTTCGGTGCCGCTGATTCCCAGAGACGATTTCGAGCTCGAGCGGAAGCGGAAGTTCCTGGTAGATGACGTGCCGAGTTGCATTAAGAGATCGCGTGTGCAGTCTGCCCCTACGAGTGGCTTGCCGGCCCTCCGCGAGGTGGCCATGAACGCTGTTGTGCACTCGGGACCCCAGGAGATGCCTTGGATGGTGTCTCCACGCTCGTTCAGAAGGTCGTACGAGGAGTACGTGTGCATCGAGAGCCACGGCGGAGACTCTATGATCACGACCGCCGCCGGGAGTGCAATCGCCTGTCGGTGATGCTCTCCGCCACGGGCCAGTGTGCCTACAAGGACGACGGCGCGAGCCGTACCAACGAGCGCACGGAGGACAGCTGGGTTGGTCTCACGCTCTTCTACCACGACAAGCCGGACGCTCAGGCACAGGGGGTGTATTATTTGGACACTCCGGAGGGTCTTGTACGGCAGCCGATGACTTACGAGGAGTGGATCAACGTGTCATCTGTGTATGACGCATGGCTACAGGAGGCGCGGTACGAGCGCGACGTGTTCGCACTCGTGATGAAGCAGAACGCGAAGGAGCTAGACCCACGTCACTTCGACCAGCACGAGAAGGCTAAGTTCGACGAGGCCGATGCCGCCGAGTGGCGGCAATGGATCGCCAACAACACGGTCGAGCTGGTCACCGAGGAGGAGGAGAAGAGCATTCCGAAGGATAAGATCATCTCGGTGCCCATGCGTTCGGTTCGCACGAACCGGGGGCGAGGGCCGGAGTTGGAGGCGAAGTCGCGCTTGATCATCCCTGGCCATCTCGACCCGCAGCTTGGTCTATTCAGGACGGATTCGCCTACTACTTCCCCTTTGGCCGTGCTGGTGTGTGCGTCTATCACAATGGCGATGGATTGGACATTCGAGTGCTTCGACGTAGCGACTGCGTTCCTGTCCGGGCTGAAGCTGGAGCGGGAGCTGTATGTGAGGGCTCCTAAGGACGGGCTTCCAGCCGTCGACGGTGCTGGATGGCCAGCTGTGCGGCCTTATGCGTTGCTTCGTCTGCTGAAAGGGGCGTGCGGTTTGACGGAGGCGCCTCGGTTGTGGTATCTCCGAGCCCGCCAGGTGCTGACGGACGAGGTCGGCTTTGTGGAGCTGCGCTGTGCTCGAGCTGTCTTCGTTTATCGGGCGAGCGGCAAGATGATTGCTATGTTGACCTTGCACGTCGACGACGGCGTGCTGTTTGGCGACCCGCGCGACCCCCAGTACCAGGAAGTGAAGGCGAATATCAACAGGCGTTTCAACATCAAGCACTGGAAGGAGGGCAACGACAAGGAGGCAGTCGCCTATCTCGGTGAGGAGTGGTGGCGCCACCCCGATCACATCGAGATTAGCATGCGCGAATACATCGGCAAGCTGACAAAGCACCCCCTTGCAAGGGGTGACGACGAGGAGCGGGAGATGACTCCCGAAGAGCACCACGACTTCCGGAGCTTGCTCCAGAAGGTGCGATGGCCTGTCGCACGCGTGGTGCCACAGCTCGCGTACAGTGTGTCGGCGCTCGCACAGAAGGATCCGAAAGGTCGGAGGTTACTGCACCTGCGAGTGCTCAATGACATCATCGACCGGCTTCAGGACTACGACAAGAGAGGTCTTGCGACTCTCCGGATCCGCCGTGTGGACATCGAGCGCGTGCAGGTGCTGGCGCTTGTGGACGCTTCGTTTGCGAAGGAACCCGGCTGTAAGAGCCAGATGGGGTTCATGAGTATGATTACGGATACCCGAGTGTTGAAGGAGCTAGCTGTATATTGTCTAGTGGAGTTCCAGAGCAGTACTATTACACGAGCTGTTGGATCTACGATGGCCGCAGAGTCGGCGGCTATGTCCGTGGCTTTGGATCGGCAGCTTTACCTCAGGCTGCTGATTGAGGCAGTCTTGCACGGGGAGCCGCCCTTGCAAGGGGACTGGAGGCTGGCGCTGAAGGTTCCGGGGGCGCTGGTGACGGACGCGAAGTCGCTCTACGACCACGCGTCCAAGATCGGCTCGATGCCGGTGTCTCGGCAGACCCTCATCGACTTGTTGGTGGCCAAGGATTTGATCGAACAGGAGGCCATCAAGTTCAAGTGGCTGCCCAGTGGATGCTGGCGGACGTGCTGACAAAGGCCGTGCAGCCTAACGAGGTGCTATCGCAGTTCCTCCGCCACGGACTGTTCAGCATGGTGCCTACTGCTGAACAAGAAGATGAGGAGGCACACCGTCTGCGGCTGCGCCGCGGACAGCGTGAGAGAGCCAAGGAGCGGAAGGCCCAGCGTCGGGCCGCCGTTCCAGGGCCTGCGAGCCCGTGAGGTCCTGATTGCAGCCGCTGCATGGACCTAGTGAGGGCTACGGTGATGTGTGCACATACATTGAGTTGACAGTCTGGACTAGTGAGTCTAGACATTCATATTTTATATGTTATATTTTGAGCCCCAGGCCGCACTTTGCTTGAGGTGTATCGGCCTGTGGGCCGGTATAGGCGATAATTGCGTGCAGCGTTTCCCGCTTGTAGGGTGCGGCATCGGGGCAGCATTCTACTCACCCAGTGTGAAGAGTGCACTCCCCTGCCCCTCTGCCGCCCGTGCCACCGTGTACGCATGATGTACGTGCTTTTCATGTTTGTGGCATGCACGCTGCCCGCCGCTGTTTTGGCCCTAGTCCTAGGGCCCTGGGACTGCGCCCGCAGTTGGACTGCCGCGCGGTCCGAGCAAAAAGAACTGCACTGACACCCGTACCCCCCCCAACCCGAAATTTGAATCAAATTCGGGTCTTCGGGTTGGGTTGGGGTGGTTTGGTCGGAAGTGAAATGAATCGTCGATTCCCAGGAACAAATGGGAACTTGTGGACAGTGAGCGGGGGGGAAGACGAACGCCCAGAGCATATATGGAACCATGTGTCCGTTTTTTTTTTTTTTTTTTTTTTTTTTTTTTTCTCTCTCTCTGTGTGTGTGTGTGTGTGTGTTGTGGGCCCCTTCTTGGCTTCTCTCTTTTGGCATCGCGGCGCTGGCGAACGCGGGGCGCGGCCGGAGCCTCGGCGGGGCGGTTGGCACGGCGAGCGCGGGAGCGCCCAGGGGGAGCGCCTGGCACCGTCGGAGGTGCCTCTCGGAGCGCTGGCTCGCCGCTCGGGGCGCGCGCGCGGCGGGCCCGCTCTCCGCGAACGTCGAGGCGAGGCGCCTCGCGAGAGCGGGCGGCGCTTGGCAGCCTCCCGTCGAGCGTCGACGTCGACGCGAGGCAGCGGGGGGCGCGCGGAGGATGGCGGCCGCGGCCCGTCTCTCAAACAAACACACGCGCCTCCCTCTCTCTCTCTCTCTCTCTCTCTCTTTCTCTCTTTCTCCGTCTCTCTGTCCTTGCTCGTCTTGCCTCTCTCTCTCTCTCACCCGCCCATGACTTTCATCCATCCTCAGCTCCTCATCCTGCGCCTCTCGTCTTAGCTTGTTACACCGCTGCCATGTCGTGCTGAAGCGTTGAGGGACCGCTCTTGCCCACGCGGCGCTCGCAGCAAGATCGGTGGCCGTTCTTGGCTGTGCGCCCCGCGCCTTATGCCGCCGTCATCGGCGGACGCGAAGCCACCGCATGTCTTCCCTACGGTCAAAGGTCCATGTTTCTCCCCACAGGGAGAGCGCACGTGGTGCAAGCCATTTCATAGTTGCCTCCGACGGGTCTTCACTTGTTCGCAAGCCCCAGGGTCTTATGATTTTCAGATCATCGGTCGGGCCGTGTGTGATCTACTATCGAGGAGTGGGATCAGCTCTGAGGTCTTTAACGCTAACCACGCAGCTGCTGAGATCCGTTGTTTCCGCGATTCCTTGTCTCAAGAGCTGGGGGCGTGTCGTGGGCGATGCGCTCAGCCAATCTCCGAGCTAAGTGTTGTAGTTGCAGATGCAGACCAGGCTTCTGAACAGTGCAGTGCAGCAGCGGTCTCCCGGGCTTGGTCAGACGTAGCGTCTGAGGTTGTTCGCGGGCTCGGGGTGGACGCCGCCTTCGTCAAGCAAACACGTGCACCTAAGACTAGGCCGTGGACAGGTTCGACTCCTCCTGGTTGGTTTAAGATTTCGGTGTTCGACATACACAAGACGTTGGTTGCGTTCTCCTGGGTCTCCCTTGTCTCGCTTGGTGGCATCATGTATGAAATGAAATGGCTCTCTATAGGCGGCGTTCTATCTGGAGTTGCCCTCTCAGTGCTCATGTGCTTGTTCGAGCGTCGGGCTCTTCATGATGAGATTCGGCTGGGTGCCGCTGGGTTTCGACGGCTCCTTGGACAAGGCGTGCTTCCTCTAGGTCAGCGCCGTTGCGTGGGCGACATCCTTGGGATGAGCACATGCGGCTGCCGTGCATATACTTATGCGTACCTGCGTGAAGTTTACCCTATACGCCTGAGCCCTTCTTCAACGATCGAGGGCCCCGCGGAACCGTGCATCTGGGTCGATCTTGAGCTGCGTGTGGTAGGGCCCAGGGTCTTGATTTCCCCCAAGAGCCCTAATAGGCCGTGGCTGCTAGGTGAAGTTGACGCCCGTCCTCATGCTCATATTATCGTGTGGCCAAGTCAGCCCCCTCGCAAGTTTTCCATGGTGGTCTCCATGCTCACTAGCAGTTTTGCCTGCTCCCAATATTTAAACTTGTCCATCAAGGTCGGGCTGGGCTCTCGAGCTGGCTCTGGAGCTATTCTTGCTGGGGTACCCCATTGAACTCATTCTTGCCGCTGCCCATGCTGCTCCGTGGAATTTTTTTGCTCAAATTGTTCGGGTAGTTTTGCGCGTTTGGCGACGTCGTCTTCGGCGCTCCTCCCCTTCTCCTTCTACAGCCTCCGACGCCATGGGCAAGGGCTACGAACGCCGCTGGGGCAACGACTCGTGGAGCGGTCACCGCGGCTACGACGAGACCTACGAGCAGGATCGCGACCGCGACCGTGACCGCCGCGACCGTCGCGACTACCGCGATGACCGCCGTGATGGTGATTCTGATCGCCGTGAGGGGCGAGGCCGCCGTGAGTCCAGCCCTGATCGGGATCGTGGCCGCGGCCGTGACCGTGACCGCCGTGGCCGCAGCCGTGACAGGGCTCGCCGCTCGGAGGACGCGGACAGCCGTGGATTTGAGTAGCGCGAGGTCGAGGCTTTGCGCAAGCAGCTCGAGTCCAGAGACAAGGGGTACGCCGCCGTTCCTCATGACAAGGCCACCCGTGCTCGTGAACTTGAGCTCTGCAAGCAGGGCGAGTGCGTTGCAGCTGCGCTCAAGTCCGCCTTCGCCAGCCAGACGGAGGAGCTCCGCGAAGCGCTGGCACCTGATGGGTGCCCGCCGGCCCCGCCAGCCCGCTGGGCTTCCCCGAGCCGTGCCTCATCGTCTACGCTATCACGCTCGGAGCTGGGGTGGATCCAGTCAGTCGTGGGTGCGAAGGTGAAGCCCCCTACCAAAGGCCAGCCGCGAGGATATCCTGACCCTGGTCACCAAGGCCCTGGCTTCCGACAAGCATGCTGCAGGCTCGGCCAACAAGTGGCACGCGTGCCGTGGCTCTTGCACAAAACGGAGGGGGAAGGAGGAATAGGGGAGGAGGAGGAGGAAGAGGAGGAGTAGGAGGAGGAAGAGGAGGGGGAGGAAAGGGGGGCAGAGAGGGGACGACAATCATCAGAGAAGTCTCGGGGGGGGCGGGGCGGCGGGGCGGTGCGATGCAGAAATAATCTGGTCGGGGCGGAGGGGGGCGGGGTGCACTGGGCGGGCGGGGAGGGGTGGGGGGCGATCGCGGGGGCGGGGCGGTGGGGGCCGTGCGACGCGGAAGAAAACGTTCGTGGCGGAGGGGGCTGTGGGCGGGGCTCCCACTGGAGCGCTGGGGACGCAGGGGGGCTTGGGGTGACTGGGCTGGGCTCCTACCCGGGCGCTGGGGGCGCCGAGGCGGGGGGGGGGGGGCGTGCGTCGCGACGCGGAATGAAATTGTCGGGGCGGACGGGGCACTGGGCGGGGCTTGGGGCGGAGGGCCACGGGGCGGGGGTCCAACCGGGGCGCTGGGAGCGGGGGGGGGGAGGGGGGAGTTGACGGGCGGGGCTCCCGCTGGGGCGCTGGGGGCGCGGGGGCTCGGGGCAGAGAGCCGCGGCGCGGGGGTCCCACTGTGGCGCTGGGGGTGTTCGTGGCGGAGGGGGCAGTGGGCGGGACCTCCGCTGGGGCGCTGGGGGCGCGGGGGGGCTCGGGGCAGAGAGCCGCGGCGCGGGCGTCCCGTTCTGGCGCTGGGGACGGGGGGGGTGCGACGCGGAATAAAGTAGTCGGAGCTCTAGACACCCTGTGCAAGAGAATAAATCATGCTTGCGAGCGCCCCCCCGCAAGCAACTTCCGATCTCCCACAAAAACAAAGCCTCGCTGCTGCTGTGTATTGTTTTGGGAATTCTTGGCTGAGTATCGTCCATCCTGGAAGCTCTGAGGCGTCCCCGCAACCAGTAGCTAGGTTTTTTTTGTGCCATCTCTTTTGCTCTAGGGGTCATTGTAGGCCTCTTTCAATACATGGTCCTCCCAGCAGGAGGGGTTCGCCTTCTCGAGGTTTTCAGATCTGATTGGGTTTTAAACTGGTCCCATGCGAGGGGAGCATCTAGCATTCAGATGGTCGTGAATGCATTGGGGCCCCCGTTTAACGTGTTCAGTTCTGGGGAAAGTGCCGTAGTCCAGAGTGCTGTCTCAGGGGCCATGGGGACTGCCCTCAATCGTGCCACTAGCCATGCAGGAGGAGCTCCACTGCCCGCGGCGTTGTCGACAGTCTCCCGCCACCGCTCCCACCAGAGGCCCCGCCGTCGTGAAGCTCTCGAGGTCGATTGACCCCAGATCTGATCGGCGAGCCTCCAGGAGCAGGGCTATTCCCCCCACCCTCCTCCGTCTTAATCCCTTGTAACCCTCTTTCCTCACCCCCTCCCCTCCTCCTACCCTGACTGGCTGAGGATTCTAGCGGTGCCCATTGTCGTCTTTCGGAGATTCCAGTGGTCCCAACTTCCGCCGTCTTGTTGATTCCTGTGATCCAGCAAGTAGGCCAAGCAGGCTGTACACCCGTTGGCGACACTTGGACCAGGCCAGGCAGCGACGGCCATTGTTGGGTCTCTCTCTCCCTCTCTCCTTCTCCCTCTCTAGACGACCCTTCCCATCCTCCGAGTCTGCCCTGCTGTGCCGTGAGACCAGCCAATAGGCCAGGCAAGCTGTGCACCTGCTGGCGACCCCTGGACCTGGCCATGCAAGGACGGCCTTTTTTCTTGGAGTTTTTTTTTTTTTTTTTTTTTTTTTTTTTTTTTTTTTTTTTTTTTTTTTTTTTTTTTTTTTTTTTTTTGTTTCTTTTGTTGTTGTTTGTTCTCTCTCTCTGTCTCTCTTTCACACCCGCCCATAACTTGCATCCATCCTCGACTCCTCATCCTGCACCTCTCGTCTTAGCTTGCTGCGCCGCTGCCATTTCGTGTTGAAGCGTTGACGGGCCGCTCTTGCCCACGCGGCGCTCACAGCAACATCGGTGGCCGTTCTCGCTTCATCTGAAGAGACACTCGCAGACAGTGTCTCTCTCTTTCCCCCTCCCCCCACCCCTTCCTCCCGCTTCCTCCCCCCTCCGCCCCTGCCCCCGTGGTCGGTCGGCGTGGCTCTCTCTCTCTCTCTCTCTCTCTCCTCCCCCCTCCCTCCCGCCTCCTCCTCCCTCCGCCCCTGCCCCCGTGGCCGGCCGCGGCGGCGCGGGGCCCCCGGCGCAGCGGCCTCGGGGGCAGGAGCTCGGCCGCGGCTCTCTCCCGGGGGCTCGGCCCCGGCGGGGGGGGAGGAGGAGGACGAGGAGGAGGAGGAGGAGGAGGAGGAGGAGGAGGAGGAGGAGGAGGAGGAGGAGGAGGAGGAGCAGGAGGAGGAGGAGGAGGAGGAGGCGGGAGGAGGAGGGGGGAGGGGGAGGGGGAAGGATGGAGAGGAGGAGAGGATGAGAGGATGAGGAGGAGGAGGAAGGAGGAGGAGGAGGGCCCGGCTGAGGAGGGGCGCCGCCGCCGGGCAGCGGCGAGGGGCCGCCGCCCGGGGGGGGGGGGGGGGGGGGGGGGGGGCCGGTGCCGCCCGCGCGTGGCCACCCCGCGCCGTGGAAGTATTCGCCGCGCGGGCGACGACGTGCGCAGGCGGAGGGCCGGTCGGCTGTGGCCTCAAGTCGGGCATGTAAAAGAGGGGGGTGATGACTAGGGGGGTTGGATATCATGGCGGACGAGTCAACATTCCGAGCCTTTCTCGGCCTCCCACCCCGTGGAGCGGAGCGACGCGCTATCCGCTTGCAGGGCGTCCTCCTCCTCCTCCTCCTCCTCCTCCTCCTTGCGGCGTGACACGCGATCCACATCCCAGGCCCATCCGCTTTCAGGGGCGGAAAAGAGGGGGGTGATGACTAGGGGGGGGTGGATATCATGGCGGGGGCCATGGTATTTCCCCAGATCTCATGGTGCCTCTTTTTGTTTCATTACGTCCCTGGCCCCCCCGCTGGGCCGCGCACGTGCCGCCGGTCATGATTTGCACCCCCCCCTGTTGGACACCCCCCTCTTGGCCGCTCCCGATCTAGAAGAGGAGTGTTCAGGAATGAATAGGCCAAGCATAGTTTTGGAACGATTTTTTTGAGCAGGTCGGATTTTTGTTTTGTTCCTTCTTTTTCCCGGGGGGGGGTATTTTTGATTTTTCGTCCACAGTCCCCCCGAAGTGGCTTCTGTCCATCCCCAGTCAACAAATCCACGAATAGTCGGGGATTGGGTTAATTCGGGCTTGTCCCTGTACAGGAGGAACATTCCAAAATAGTTTGAAGAATAGTCGGGGGACGACATTTTGAGCATCTTTGTTAATGCCTGGTGTATTTTTCGACTATTGCTTGATTTTTCGTCCAAGATCCCCTTGTAAAAGGGGGATAGGCCCGACCTAAGTGCAGCCGCGCAGACGACGTGTGCAGGCGGAGTGCCGGCGGGCTGTGGCCTCGGAGTGCTCCCGCTCTCGGCTCGGTGTCGCTGCGGTCCTCGCCGAAGATTGGCGGCGAGCGCGGGGCGGGTGCAGCCAGCCAGGGCCCCGGTGGAGGGGATCCGGCTGGTGATTCGGCCCCGAAGCCCAGCATATGGACAGGAATCGCTGAACCTTGGTGGTCTCCAAACCAGGTGGTGAGACACCCGGTGGTGACCCCGATTCCCCCAAAAAATAATTCTGGGTCACCACCGGGTTTGGGGGCACGCGGTCGCCACGAGGTTTTGCGTTTCTTGGGCCAGCCAGCGCTCGAAAACCATTACCCAAATCGCCCAAAACTCACCACCAGGTGTTCTCACCACCACGTTTGGGGACCACCAAGAACCAGGTTTGCTGTAGCGGGTGCTCTTCGGGTGGCGGCGGTTCCGGTCAGTGGAACGGGGCGGGGGGGTGGGGTGGGGGCGTTTCCTAGTACACAGCACTAAAACGGGTCCCGCTGAACCCAGTTCCGCCAACGCCTGAGCAGGGGGGAAGCGAGAAGGGGAAGGCCTTCTCAGAAGGCGGCGGGGCTTCTCGGCAGCCCTCGCGCCTTCTGAGTGGTTTTCTGCACCTTCGGGGAAGGCTCTCAGAACACTTCTCAGAAGGCCGGGAAACTTCCGAGCCTTCTGAGAAGGCCTGCCCCTTCTCTCACTTCCCCCCGGGCTCGCCGCCTAGACGAAGACGAACGCCAAACACGTCGACTTCTGGAGCTCCGCACGAACATCCGAAAGTAGTTATGCTTATGCTACTGAGTCTGTCTAATTCCGGCTCGAAATCGACATGGCTTTCGGGCCCTTGGGGACCTTGCGCCAGGATTCCTCGGTGCGCCGATCTGCCCGTGGCGCCCGCGAAACCCTCCGCAGAGCGCGCTCTCCCCCTCCGGACCCTCTCTGCCCCCTCCTCCTCCTCCTCCTCCTCCTCCTCCTCCTCCCTCCTCCTCCCTCCTCCCCCGCCTCCTCCTCCTCCTCCTCCTCCTCCTCTCTCCTCCTCCTCCTCCTCCTCCTCCTCCCCCCCGCCTCCTCCGCCTCCTCCTCCTCCTCCTCCTCCTCCTCTCCTCCTCCTCCTCCCTCCTCCTCCTCCTCCTCCTCCTCCTCCCTTCTCCTCTCCTCCTCCTCCTCCTCCTCCTCGTCCTCCTTCTGCTCTTCCTCCTCTTCCTCCTGCTCCTCCTTTTCCCTCCTCCTCCTCCTCCGCAGGGCGCGCTCACCCTCTTCCATCTGTCGCTCTCCTCCCAGCCTGGCTTGGCCCGCAGGTGACCAGCGGCCGCACCGCGAGCCTGAAGCAGGACAACATGCAGAGGACTGCCAACGTCGAGCGCACAAGAGACGGCACAGGCATCGTAATTTCTGGGAGGCCCGCGCGGAGATCTTGGATCGGCGCTGTGCCTCCCTGTCGGCGCGTCCGGCGCCGCCCATGGCGTGGTCCGCGCGCCAGGGTGGAGGTCCAGCACCAGTCCAAGAGATCTGCGCGAGCCTCCGAGAAATTAGATTTAGGTCGGGCCTGTCCCTCTACAGGGGAATCTTCAAAAATGGTGAAAAATAGTCTGGGGACGATTTTTGGATGATTTTCGAATATA